TAGGGAACTCAAGAAATTAGACATCAAAATGCCCAACAGTCCAATTAAGAAATGGGCTATAGAACTAAACAGAGAATTCTCAACAGAGGAAACTCAAATGGCTGAAAGACATTTAAGGAACTGCTCAACATCCCTAATCATCAGGGAAATGCAAATCAAAACAACTCTGAGATACCACCTTACGCCTGTCAGAATGGCTAAGATCAAAAACACTGAAGACACCTTATGCTGGAGAGGATGTGGAGCTAGGGGAACTCTCCTCCACTGCTGGTGGGAATGCAAGCTTGTACAACCACTTTGGAAATCAATATGGCGCTTTCTTAGAAAATTGGGAATCAATCTCCCCCAAGATCCAGCTATACCACTCTTGGGCATATACCCAAGAAATGCTCAACCACACCATAAGAGCACTTGTTCAGTTATGTTCATATCAGCATTGTTTGTAATAGCCAGAACATGGAAACAACCCAGATGCCCTTCAACTGAAGAATGGATAAACAAAATGTGGTACATATACACAATGGAATACTACTCAGCAGAGAAAAACAATGGCATCATGAGGTTTGCAGACAAATGGATGGATCTAGAAAAAATCATCCTGAGTGAGGTAACCCAGACTCAGAAAGACAAACATGGTATGTACTCACTCATAGCAGGATACTAGACATGAAACAAGGATGACTTGTCTGCTACTCACATCACCAGGGAGGCTACCTGGAAAACAGGACCCCAAGAAAGACACAGGGATCACCCAATGACAGAGAAATGGAATGAGATCTACATGAACAGCCTGGACATGAGTGGGGGTAATGAAAGGCGAGGGTTGAGGGAAAGAGAGCTTGGGGGAGCGGGAGATCCCAGCTGGATCAACAACAGAGAGGGAGAACAAGGAATAGGAGACCATGGTAAATGAAGACCACATGAGAACAGGAAGAAGCAAAGTGCTAGAGAGGCCCACAGAAATCCACAAAGATACCCACACAACAGACTGCTGGCAGAGGTCGAGAGACAGCCTGAACTGACCTACTCTGGTGATGGGATGGCCAAACACCCTAATTGTTGTGCTAGAAACCCCATCCAACTACTGAGGGATCTGGATGCAGAGATCCATGACTAGGCCCCGGGTGGATCTCTGGGAGTCCAATTAGCGAGAATGAGGAGGGTTTATATGAGCGAGAGTTGTTGAGACCAAGGTTGGATAAAGCACAGGGACAAATGGCCAAATGAATGGAAACACATGAACTATGAACCAATGGCTGAGGGGTCCCCACTGGATCAGGCCCTCTGAATGGATGAGACAGTTGATTGGCTTGATCTGTTTGGGAGGCACCCAGGCAGTGGGACCAGATCTTGTGCTCATTGCATGAGTTGGCTGTTTGAAACCTGGGGCCTATGCAGGATTGTTTGGCTCGGCCTGGGAGGAGGGGACTAGACCTACCTGGACTGAGTCTACCAGGTTGACCTCAGTCTGTGGGGAAGGCTTTGCCCTGGAGGAGATGGGAATGGGGGGGGGGGTGTTGAGGGGAAAGTGAGGGGGACGGGAGGGGGGAGAACAAGGGAATCCGTGGCTGATATGTAGAACTGAATTGTATTGCAAAATAAATTAATAAAAAAAAAAAAAAAAAGAAATGAAAGTTAGTAGTTAGACATTACAATAGAAGTTGTAGTCATATTAGATATGTTTTAAAAATTGAGCAGATATATTTTAGACAGGTCATCTTCAAACCCTTCAGAGATCTGCAGAATATGGCATTTAAAATGTTTTAATAACTTAGAAAATTTTTCTTTTTTGTTATGATTATGAGACATGTCGGCTCCTGGCAGTACCAATCTACTTCAGAGAAAATATGGGCATTGAAGAAACTGCATATGGAGTTAACTTTCATTGTGGCAAAAGTTAGCCACTGGACAACAAAGTATCCTTGAATCAACTGCTGACAAAATGGACAGACAGGACATGAAACAAAGGACTACTGATTCTTGCCAAAACGAGTGTGGTTATGGCTTTATCAAAAGGCATCTTCTGAGGCCAGGACAATATGGCACCATCCCTGAAGTGGCCTTCGCAATTTGGAAAAGGTACAGTGCCCTTTTCTTCGAAGGCAGCTGAATAGGCAGTGGGCCGATGGCTTCTGATGTGCAATGGAACAGCAGCTGAAACAGTTATTCTTGAAGAGTAACTAAGCTCACGCCTCGCAATAGTAAACTGGCATTTGACAGAGGGATGTGGAGAAGAACGGGATGTTAAGATGAAGCCATATATACACAGCCAAGAATGGACAGCTGAATTAAAAAATCAACAACAATTTCCAGAATTTAAAATCCTGAGTCATGACATGACACTAGTGGAATTCAGGGGTTTCTGGTACATGGACTGCTCTCACCCAATGTGAGGTTGAACTGTCGACCTTGTGTACATCCTACTTCACAAATGAGTCTGTCAGATATGCTAAGCCTATAGGCTGAAGATGATGCCCCAACACTGTGGAGAAACCTCAGGTGACTGTCCAGGCAGCTGGCTGTTTCTGTCAACTCACAAATTTTTTGAAGAGTCTTTATATTGAATCAATCCTTGAGATTATCAGGTACCACATGTCTCCATGTGAATGTTATCCACACTGTATTCAAAACCCCATGCTCTATAGAAGTATGACCTCCAACTACCCAATGGACTGTGCAAGAAGATGCTGTATCAGTGTTGGTCCATGTTCTGTAAAGACTTTACAGTGTAGGTCAGAGGACTGAGACTGGGAAGGCAGTAAATATGAGACTAGAGAATACTGCATAATGCATAATTTCAGAACTATTGACAATTAACATGTGCATACATTGTGTCAATCAATGAGTTATGTGAAAAATGTTTTAATAGTACTTTTAACCAGCTTTTAGAAAGTATAATTTGTGGTAATACATTATAATAAAAATACCTATTACACTCTAAGAGACTGAAACTTTTGCTGGACTACACAGTCAGAGTGAACAATATACTTTGAAATTCTTCAGACTGTGATCCTACTGTGCACTCAGTCTGTTTAACCTGCCTTTAAGAGAATATTGTAACACCCAACTTTACTTGCCTAGGATTTCCCATATAATCAGATTTTGCACAATAAAATAATGCACAGCTCTAACCTTATTTTGTGTGTTCTTCCATGTTCCTGATTGAAGACTAATGCATGTGTGTTTGCATGTATGTTATAATAACCATTTGCTAAAAACACATAATATAGGTTTCAATAAAATTTATAAAATGAGTGTCCAGAATTGCTGAAAACAATATACAGATATTGTTTGATTTCTGAAAAGATGATTGTAGAAGTGTTAATTATTTGAGTCAGCTAGAAAAGTTATTTATCCCTGCTAAAACTCTGTTAAAGATTTCTGTCAAATATCCCTTATTCTTTTCCCATGTGATACATTCTGTGCTGTTAAAAAATATATAGCAAAAGTCTTTGTTAAGAACAGAGAGGGAGAGAGAGAGACAGAACAACAGACAGAGACACACAGAGAGAGAGAAACAGAAACACAGAGAGAGACGGAGTCATAGGGAAACACAGAGAGAGGTGCAGAACAAGAGATAGATGCAGAGATTCAGACTTCTCCTATAACAGAGACATCAGAAGACAACACAAGCAATATAGACTAGGGAATCATATCTGGGCTTGCTCTTGGTTAAATGACTTCAAGGGAAATGTTGGATTTCTTTCCTTAATGTGATGTAGAAACACGATTGATGAATCTGAGTTTATTATCAATCTGTTCAAACCAACTACAAAACTTACATTAATGAATTGGAACCAAAGCAAAATCAAGATAAATTCATCAACTATTGACTGATACTAAGAAACATCCATGAGGTCACAACCATGAGACTCCTTCAGAATCTTGAGGAAAAAATGGTGATAAGTTGTAGAACCAGCTTAGGGTAATTGGTTAGTCTCACCAAAGGAAAAGGAAGTCTCAGAAAATAATATTTTCCTACTAAACATCTTGCATCTTCTCTTCATATGTCCCTTCAGGATGTCAATATATTAATTGATCCTTACCCACAAAAGGCCTTAAAGTGTACCAAGCAGGACAATTACTATGTTTCCAGCCATTAGAAAAGCATGAGATATCCTGCCCATGAACCAGTTCTCCATTCTCCATATAGAAAGATTTCAAAAATAATGTTACAGAAAATGGGGATGAGAGTCATTTTACTACAGGAATAATAGATGTTTTCACAAATATTTATGAAATAATTCCCTTAGCCTGACAAACTCTTGTGAAAAAATTCTCACCACCCCTCAGTTTAGCTTGTGTCTTCAGTAATGGAGGGATGAATGCCTGTCCACTGCTGCTCATAACCAAAGGCAGGGACCACTATAAACATGACTTATCATCAAATTATCAGAAAAGGAAACTTCCAAACAGTGGCCCAAGTGTTTGCAAGTCCTCAAGCTGCTAAAAGCCAAAGCAGCCACACTGCTATAACGGCTTGGAATAAAGCTCTTGGCATCAATACTCCCACAGGCATATTTCTCAGGATACACAGAAATATACAGAGCCACTTACGACTTTGTCCATCATCTGCAACAAGCTACAGAGCAGCAGGCAGATAGTAAAGAGGCTGCTTCTACCTTGTGTCTTCAGTCTGCTTATTAAATGCAAATTTTAACTGTAAAAAACCTTCATTCTATAGTTGCTAATATCTTTCATACTATTGCTGATTTAATAAAAGCATGCCAAAATGACTGCACAGAAGAACTCAGATTCTGACTGTGTCCATGTGGCCTCCTATGTTTCAAATGGGGAAGGAAAAGGTCGTTTTTACAAAAATAATACAAACTAAAATTTGCTAATTATCATTAATATAGTAAACCTCCATCTATAACACCGGCACATTGTAAGATGTATTTTCACTGGTCCAGTCTGTGTGGATAGTGGTGAGAAAGAGAATTCAATTTCAGGAAACAGGAGAATGAGCACCCAGGGCTGCTGATGACAGGATCAGGTCTCTACATTCCCAGCTTGGAATCCCACTGCTCTTTCCCCAGAGCTATCTGAGCAGGAACCCAGCTTGTTGCCAAAGCAGCAGACTCCACACCCTGGGGACTCCGCAACATAACACTCAGCTCCAACCCTGAACCTAAAACAATAAGAGATTTGATTATTACTGCCAAATGCAATTCATGATCAGATGAATCAATAACTAAAGGCTTTAAATTAGATTTAATAGAAAAGGTTAAAGCAACTACCCCAAAACTATGGTGACCCCTTCCAACAAACTGCCTGTGCTTGTTTTAGGGAAAACCAATTGGAGTGTGAACGGGCCTTTGTTTGTGCACATGCTGTTGATTTGTCTTTTACTGGCCTGACTCATATTATAGCTTATTGCCAGCTACTCCATCAACAGTTCCAGTCCCATAGATATAAAAATATATATATTTATATCATGATGAGTTGCTACAGTTTGTCCTATTTTAGTTTCTTAAAAAATAATCATGTCTTATATTTTTGGTTGTGAGCCTAGCCTTTAACAGCTGAGCCATCTCTCCAGTCGGCCAGGCAGTGGTGGCACACTCCTTTAATCCCAGCACTCAGGAGGCAGAGCCAGGCAGATCTCTGTGAGTTTGAGACCAGCCTGGGCTACCGAGTGAGTTCCAGGAAAGGTGCAAAGCTACACAGAGAAACCCTGTCTCGAAAAACCAAAAAAAAAAAAAAAAAGTCAGTGGAGGTGGTCACTGGTAAACAGCTGGTCAAGGCATGGTGCACTTTAAGGGCATCCTGAATCAGGATCACTTTATTCCCAGCAGTCCTTTTTAAAAAGTTGACAAAGACCCTATAAGACTGTGAAATGACAGACAAAATTTTGGACAGTCAAAGTGATTATTTTTGAGCAAGTCTCCAGGCTAATCTTCTCTGTCATCTCAGTCCCAGGGCAGCTTCCTGCTCCCCCAGGGTTTCTGACACACTCAGGATGTGGGTTGTAACACTGTGTTTTTTGCACAGTAATAGACCGCAGAGTCCTCAGATGTCAGGCTGCTGAGCTCCATGTAGGCTGTGCTGGAGGATGTGTCTGCAGTCAATGTGGCCTTGTCCTTGAACTTCTGATTGTAGCCAGTTTCACCATTTCCAGGGTAAAAATATCCAATCCACTCCAGGCCCTGTCCAGGACTCTGCTTCATCCAGTTCATAGTATAGCTAGTGAAGGTGTAGCCAGAAGCCTTGCAGGACAACTTCACTGAGGAACCAGGTTTCCTCAGCTCAGGACCAGACTGCTGCAGCTGGACCTGGGAGTGGACACCTGTGGAGAAAAAGACAGAGTGGATGTCATTGTCACCTCAGACCCTGTTCCTTCTTCAGGTTTGGAACTGGAAAGCCCTTTACCTGTAGTTACTGACAGGAGGAAGAGGATGCTCCAGCTCCATCCCATGGTGAGGACCTGTGTGCTCAGTGAGTGTGGAGAGGACACTGATTGTATGTTGTTCTGGGATGTGGACATCCCTGTATTTACCACCATAGATTCAAGTAATTTGCATATTCATGAGCAGAGAACTTCTTAGATAAGTACCTAGTTCTGCTGGAGAAGAAAGAGGCAAAGCATACCTGGGTCAGGCAGCAGGATGTCCTAATTCTCTCTGAGGAAATGTATACCATACTCCTTCCCTGAAGCCTGTGCAGATGCTGAGGAAGTAACATCAGGACCTGAGCTCTCAATAGACTGCAGGCCTGAGGAAGTTGCTCCACTTTGTGATCAGGCTGTCAGATTGATGTACAGATGGTGATTGCGATGATGATGATGATGATGATGATGATGATGATGATGATAGTGATGGGAAATTTAAAACCTGCCAAGTTATGAGAATTTACATCCTCCATTCAGATATATGCAATTAGTATTGGCCTTTCCAATAGATTATACACTAAGAAACTCATCCAAGTGTCCAAAAGTAAATATACTTGAGATATATTTGCACAATGATTATTGTAGCAACATCACAATAGCTAAATTATAGACATAAACTATGTGTCTGTCTACAGAGGATTATATTAAGAAGACATGTTTATATAAACAACACAACAGAAGTTTTTCATCTGCAAGGACTATGGAAACTACATCAGTTAAGGAAAATGGATGCAACTAGAGATAAATGTATTAATTAAGATGATCTCAGAAACACAGACAATAAATGAAACTCCCATTAGTAGTTCTAGATATTTCATACTCACATACAACTATGAATACAAATACATGATGATGTATAAGTGAAATTGTCTAGTAGAATAAAGGTAAAGAAGGAGGGGAAGGAAAATGAAGGGTAGAGATTATGGGGGAAATATATGCAGTGTACAAAATACATGTGTATGAAAATTTTAAGCATATGGAAATTTGTTATTTTTACATTTAATAATTTGTGTTCTCTGAAATTTTAGTCCATGTATAAAATATAGTATGATCATATTTACACCCACTATGCCCCACATGTTCCTCTTGGGGCGTTCCAATAAATCTCTCTCTCAAATTCCTGACCTCTTTTCTTTCATTAACTAATAACACAATGGGTCTAATCAGTGCTATCTATATACACATAGGTGGGGTCATTCACTAGTACATAGGAAACCTCCAGTAATCTTCCAAAGAAAATTTATTATATTTTCCTTATCCATTATAAACACCAATAGATCCAGCTTGGTGTGGATCCTAGGAGTTTCTCTCCATCCATATTATAGTTTTAAAAATTGTTATACTATCTTTAGTGGTGAGAACAGTGCAGGAGAGGACATAGGAAAGATCTGGGAGTCCCTGCCACACCAACCTTGTCTCTCTACTGAGGATTCTTGGTTCCATTGTGCCCCCTGCTGGTCAGGAACTCCCCTGCAGGTTGGTTTGTCATGGCTTACACAGAAGTTGCAGTCTTTTATTTTAATTCACTTTGCATAACAATCACAGATCCCCCCACCCCATTCCTCCTCCAGACAGCAAAGCCTGGTACAGCTGAGGCAGGACCAAGACCCTCTCTCCTTTATCAGGTGTGAGCAAGGTGTCAGGCCATATGGAATGGGATCCAGAAAGTCAGTGCATGCACCAGGGATAGATCCTGATCATACTACCTGGGGCCCATCAACAGACCCAGCTACACAACTATCTCCCATATACAGAGGGTCTAGTCTGGTCCCATTCAGTTTCCACAGCTGTCGGCCTAAAGTTCATGAGTTCCTTTGACTTGGTTCAGTTGTCTCTGTAGATTTCCCCATCATGATCTTGACTCCCTCCCCTTGCTCATATAATCCCTCTTCCCTCTTTTCGACTTGATTCCTGGAGCTCGGCCTGGTGCTTGGTTGTGGATCTCTGCATCTTCTTCCATCAGTTACTGGATGAAAGCTCTAAGATGACTATTAGTGTATTCACCAATCTGATTACCAGGGTAGGCCAGTTCAGGAATCCTCACCACTATTATTAATAGTCTAATCTGGGGTGATCCCTGTGGATTCCTGGGAATTTCCCTAGCACCAGGTTTCTCCCTTGCCCCATAATGTCTCCCTCTATCAAGATATCTCTTTCAAGAGGACCCTAAGAAAGACACAGGGATCTCCAAACAACAGAGAAATGGATGAGATCTACATGAGCAAACTGGGGATGGGGGCGGGTAATGGAGGGCAAGGGTCAGGGGAAAGAGAGCTTAGGGGAGCGGGAGGTCCCAGCTGAATCAGGAGCAGAGTGGGAGAACGGAGAGGGAGACACCATGATGAATGAAGACCCCAGGGGAACAGGAAGAAGCAGAGTGCTAGAGAGGTCCCCAGAAATCCACAAAGATACCTCCACTGTAGACTACTGGCAATGGTCGAGAGAGTGCCTGAGCTGACTTGCTCTGGTGATCGGGTGGCTGAACATCAGAACTCTCATCTGGTGTCTGATGGAAGCAGATGCAGAGATCCACAGCTGAGCCCCAGGTGGATCTCTGGGAGTCCAATCGGCAAGAGAGAGGAGGGATTGTATGAGGGAGAATTGTTGAGACCATGATTGGAAAAAGCACAGGGACAAATAGCCAAATTAGTGGAAATGAATAAACTGTGAACCAATAGCTAAGGAGCCCCCAACAGGATCGGGCCCTCTGGATAAGTGAGACAGTTGATTAGCTTGAACTGTTTGGGAGGCCCCCAGGCAGTGGAGCCCGGACCTGTCCTTGGTGCATGAGTTGGCTTTTTGGAACCTAGGGCCTATGCTGGGACACTTTGCTCAGCCTTGGTGTAGGGAGGAGGGGACTGGACCTGCCTTGGCTGAGTCTACTAGGCTGGGCTGACTTCCCAGGGGAGACCTTGCCTTGGAGGAGGTGGGAATGGGGGGTGAATTGGGGGGCAGAACTAAAAAAAAGATATCTCTTTCATTGCTCTCCCACTCCATCCCTCCCCCAACTTAACCATCCTGTTCACTCATGTTCTTATCCCACATCCCCTACCCTCTATTGCTCCCCCTCATGCCCAGTTTACTCACTGGGAACTCCTCTATTTCCTCTTCCCAAGGTGATCCATTCATCCCTCTTAGGGTCCTCCTTGTTTCCTAGCTTCTCTGGAACTGTGGGTTATAATCTGATTATCCTGAGAAAGAAAACAGAGAACCATCACCCTTTCCAATAGCCAAAAATAATATAAAATACCTTGGGGTAACTCTAACCAAACAAGTAAAAGACCTGTAAGATAAGAACTTAAGTCCATAAAGAAATAAACTGAAGAAGATGTCAGATAATGGAAAGATCTCCCATGCTCATGGATAGGTAGAACAAACATAATAAAACTTGCAATCTTACCAAAAGCAATCTACAGACTCAATGCAAACCCCATCAAAATCCCAACACAATTCTTCACAGACCTCAAAAGAATACTCAACTTCATATGGAAAAGCAGAAAACTTAGGATATCTAAAACAATTTTGTACAATAAAGCAACTCCTAGAGGCATCACCATCCCTGACTTCAAGCTCTGCTATAGAACTATAGTAATAAACACAGCTTGGTAATGGCATAAAAACCAACATGTGGACCAAAGGAATTTAACTGAAGATCCTGACATTAATCCACACACTTATGAACACTTGATTTTGACAAAGAAGCCAAAAATGTACAATGGAAAAAAGAAAGCATCTTCAGCAAATGGTGCTGGCATAAATGGATGTCAACATGTAGAAAATTGCAAATAGATCCATATCTGTCACCATGCAAAAAACTCAAATCCAAGTGGATCAAAGACCTCATCATAAGTAAATCCAGCTACACTGAACCTGATAGAAGAGAAAGTAAGAAGTAACCTAGAAAGCATTGTCACAGGAAACCACTTCCTAAATATAACACCAGTAGCACAGACACTGAGAGCAACAATTAATAAATTGGACCTTCTGAAAACAAGAAGCTTCTGAGAGGCAAAGGACATGGTAAATAAGACAAAAAGACAGACTATAGAATGGGAAAATAGCTTCACCAACCCAACATCTGACAGAGGGCTGATCTCCAAAATATGTAAAGAACTCAAGAAACTAGACATCAAAGTAACATACAATCCAATTAAAAATGGACTATAGATCTAAACAGAGAATTCTCAACAGAAGAATCTCAAATGGCTGAAAGACATTTAAGGAATTGCTCAACACCCTTAGTCATCAGGGAAATGCAATTCAAAATGACTCTGAGATATTGTCTTATACCTGTCAGAATGGCTAAGATCAAAAAACACCAATGACAGCTAACGTTGGAGAGGATGTGGAGCAAGGGGAACACTCCTCCACTGTTGCTGGGAGTGCAAACTTGTATAGCACTGTCTTTCTTGAGCAGTAACACATTCCTACAACTTCAGTTATCACATAGCTTAGCTTCAGAGAGAAATTGTTATTGTTAATCTGGAGGAGCTGACTGGATACATCAGAGACTGATGTTAAGATGTTTCTATACTATCATCAATGCCCCTCTCAATGTCAGGATCCTCCCTGGTGACAGTTGGATCCAGCTCTAGCAATTCTCACTTGTAGTAAGGTGACAACAGGAGAGAACAAAGTCTTGCCTATCTTTATCAGATTATACCTGGGTCAGAGCACCTGATGTCAGAGAAACATAATGAGTCTAAAACTCAGAATGAGCCTCCCATGTATCCATTTATGAATTTCTGAGACATGCAGATAAAGAGGTCAACAGAAAGAAGATGAATCACTGTGGTATTCACGGGAAAGTTACAATTCCAGAAAATACACTCACATTAAGAAGGAACTAGAAATGAATCAAATATATGCTGTGACTCAATCTGTTTCCCTCACTGTATTTGCATACAGTTAAAGGAATTAGGGGAGAGAGGAGATCTCCTTGACAAGGATCCTCATGGGTGCAGGATATGTGTACTTACACAGTTTTATCTCTCCATGTCTACCTTTCCACGTTCACAGTCCTCTTATTCTTG